ACACCCGTAAGCAATTTTATAGTCCTCTTTTGTGTAACTCCATATTTTTACATTATATTTTTTTAAAAATATAAGCCTGAAAGTTTTTAAATATTGCTACTATTTTGGCACTAAATGGATATCAAAACTGTTTACCACGATTCTGTTTTTCAAAAAATGGGGCCCGTTTGTGTTTGGTAGATGGATGTGTAGCGTCCCAAAACTTCCCACCGGGTGGAAGAAGGCGGTAAGTGAGGCTAAGTATATGTATTCCAAAGGAACAAAGTGACTAGGCCCGGACACTGTCCAAAGGCTAGTCCACACGCATAAGGGCGAACAAATCCTAGCGTCCACCAACCGTCAGGTGGTCACATAAACAGAGCATTACAGAATAGTCTCCAGGCCAAATCGTAGCTCCGCTTTAATCCTTTCTCTCTGACTAACTTTTGGTAGCCAGATCCAAGGTCTTATACTTTCAAGAATGAAGTGTTAACCTATTAGGCCATTAGTATTAAACTCCTAATAACTCATAATTACTTTCATTATGCTATTTGTTGCTTGTACTATACATTTAAAATAAATTTTTTAATTTTTAAAGATTTGTAAAATGGCTATTATTTACACAGTAGCTATTTAAGGCAATTTTTGTACAATCACGTCGAAGTAATAGTGCATGGCCTTCAAAACCTCAAGGCTGACTGCGCTATTGTGCCTCAGTGTGTCGGTCGCGAGATCTTGAAATGTGTGGGTTCTGTCGTGAAGCCATTTGTACAAATTTATGCGTCGAGACTCTTGAAAGGATCTTGAATGCTTATTCGGAGTCGTTAAAGCAAAGTTATATATCCACTCGTGGGGTTGTTGTTTTGGAGTTCGGACTTCAAGCGCGTTCCTTGAAGTCTCGAGAGGATGACTTGATCTGCGAATTGGAATCGAAATATCGCCAAGATCTGCTAATTATTGAAAGGTTCTTTAATTTTGAATTGGCAGTGTGTAGGTTGGCTGGCTTATTGGAATTCGCAAAAAGTTGCACTCAATGTGACAGCAATCGAATCGTGATGCACATCTGTGACCACTTAAAAACGTACTGATCCTTCCATTACGAATAGTCTACTTTAGCAAACTGGGCTTCGATAAGAAATTTCAGTCTTATCCGAAATTTTCGTTTAAATGCGATAAATTGGGTCTGGAGCAGTCCATTGCTTATTTTGGCAGAATTGAAAAGAAAGGCACTTTATTGTTTAAATAATTGTTCTTCGTCTGTTAGAGATTTCAGGTTGTGAAAATTCGGCTGTAGATTTTAACCCTCTATCTGGTGAGAATGTATCATCTTGGCAGTTTCCTGGTGGTGTTTTCGAGAGGGATTTTGCTGACTCCTCTGATAAACCTTGTATCTGCCAAGAATCAGAATCGAATTCTTTTTGTAAGTGATGGTGAATTTTTTTATTATAGTGCGATTTGCGTTTGTGGACTGCAGTAGTGTCTGTGAGCTTGTGTTTTTTTACTAGCTAAAACTGATTTGGAAAGCTTCGAGATATTAGATTCCTCACATTCTTCAAACTGTTCTTGCAGTTACTTACCATCTGACAAGGTAAGCAGCTCGGTGCTCTCTGTAAATTTATGAATAATGCGACTAAAGACACCTACAATGACTAATAAATCGCGTTTTGCATAATTGTAATTTTTGACGTCATATAGTCGGGAGCACTGCCAACTGAAGCGCAGACACCACTCTTTCCTGAGTCCAGCATTTCATCATGGCTTTCGGACGGTCGTTTGCCTCCATCGAAATGCGAGAAAAGCGATCGAGTTTTCCCTACATTTGTTGCAATTCCAAGCTTCTGGCTTTGCGCGGCAAGAGTTGGCAACGAGCGCTTATTGAAAGCTCCAAGTGACGACGATTTGGCGACCAAGATGGCGACTATGGTATTGAAACACGAAAAAGAAAAAAGAGCTGAGGTGAGGGTCTTATGAATTTTATTTACAGACCAGGAAGCTAGTTACTTCGAAATCTGTTTATTTGGTATCTCAGCACGACTTTCAAAAACGAATCCGCTTCGACTATAGAACGCACCATGAGCTTTCTTGCTCAACAACACTTTTAGGTGGCTTTTTTGGAGGGCATAAAATATATTTTCTGATTTTCAGCTATAGTTTGATATATGCAAGCGTCCATAATTGCCTTAATTTATTAAAGATAATTCGTTTGCTAAAGTAATTTAATTATTTTCATTAGTTCCACATCGTTGCATTTTAACATTGAAGCCGCGTTATTTGGATTCCGTGAAAATTATTCAATATTAAATACCCTTCTATTCTTCACCCGTCCTGAATTCTTTACAAATTTCCTTTTGCTTCGTTATTGAAGTGTATTTAGAGGGAAGGATAGTTTCTTTACTTTGTCGCCTTTAGGGTTTGTAATCAGCATTCCATTTTAAATTCATTATGCAAATGTATTTAAAACGCAAGGGCTACCTTAATTTTCTGTGGCTCTGTTCCATTTTAATGGATTTTCCCATGCTCCGGCTTTGTTTGATTGCATCGTGGTCAAATTTGTTTTATCACCGTACTCAGGTAAGCGATTTCAGTGGTTTACTGCCCCTCGATGCCTTCTTCCTTGTTTTGTTGCGTTTTTTGTTTCGCAATAAGTCTGATATTGGAGTGGATAGCGTAAGCAACAAACAGGCAAAAGAATCTCCGGCATAGGGATTGAAGCTCTCCGTAGCTAGGCGGAAGAAATGTCGTGTTCGAACACAAAAAAATACATGAACTCGATTCTTTTTATGGCTTCGGGCATGCTGCTGAAACCTTTGTATTCTTTAACTTCTACTTGGCAGGAGTTACTTCTATGAGCGCAATTGTCTTGGCAAACCCTAACCTAGCACCTTTTGCGTTGCATAACTTTTGTGCAATTTAACTGTTTGAGAGTTCAAGACTTCGTTTGCAGCGGGGTTTTGTTATAGCTGTCATCCTTTCGATTCTGAAGCCCTACAAGGATTTTCATGCCTAAATTCAGCTACAACTGATTTTTCAGGTTTGCTGCAAACCTGTTAATGGGGAACCGTTCTACAAGCGTCTTGATGGCTGCGCAATTCAAGCGGCGAGCGAGGCCATACTGAAGTCAACCAAACAATGTATTGGAACCTGGATCGCCTGCCACACTCCTAAGGACGAAAAGAAATGTAACGCTGAGGCTAACCTTCCGGATGCTCATGCCTCCGAATCCTCTGTGTTGGTCACTCAGTTGCGCAAAATTGGTGCCACCGACTATGGCATGTGGCTCTCCACTAAGAGGCGCAACGAAACGGGCTCG